CATCTACCAATGTGAAATATTTTTTTTAAGTGCATTTAACATCCTAAAATATGTTTTGATACATCCAGTATCAATGCACAAAAATACTTTAAAGTGCTAGACATACCTAAAAAATATTTCATGATACTAGATGCACCTCAAAATACTTTAAGATGCTATATGTACCTAAAAAATATTGTAATATGCTGAATGTACTTTAAGCCTAATTCTATCGTCTTAATCCTTTTAACATATATACTTTATAAAAAATAATATTTTATAGAAAGTAAAAATTAAGAATAAAAATATACATCCATACAGTAAATTTAATGAAATAAGGAAAAAAAATATACTTTCTCAAGTCTCACCCCCATGGAAAAGGCTAAAGAAGTACTCTTCCTATCATTAATATATGACCTAATTGAAGAGTTGATATTAGTTTTATAAGTAAGACCTATCTATATGTTTACTTTTTTTTAAAAAAAATTAACCTTACTAATTTCACTTAACAATAATTAAGTAGAAGAGAGGATGAGTGAATTAAGAAAGATACTCATAGTATTTTTTTAAAAAAATTATATTAACTAATTTAACTAACATAACTAATCTACTAAAAGTATTTTATTTCATGTTATAATTATAGTGCGTGTTTTGAGAAGAATGAAATAACAGTCCTTGTTGCCCAAGTTTTAGCTTTTTCCAAGTATTGATTCCACCATCTTTTTTGTATATTCCTTTCATTAATTCTTCTTTCTTCGTCTCTCCTCTGTATTCAACGCGTAACTTTCACTTGGATCGCAGAGAGATCCCGGAGATTTATCCACAGAGAGACCCTACATGCTTTCCAAGTTTTCCTCCCATTGTCTTGGCTTTTGAAGCCGTTTATGTAACTCTTTTTTTTTTTTGTATGGTTATTTTTTTGGCCAAAACTTTTGCATGCTTATTAATCCCACACATAAAAATGGAATTTTAAAAAAATAAACTGTGATAACTTTCAAAATGGTTTTAACGGGTCAAAATATGTAAAAGTTACTATTTATCGTTTTGAAATCCAACAAATATTTTTTTTTTTATGATTTTCCAAAATGGCTCCATTTTCTGTTTTAAAACAAATGATAGGTCCTGGAAGCAAAACCTACAGATCAAATTTATTGGCTACCACCGATACGACGATTTTGAAAAGTTAAATCTACAAACAAGATATAAATGGAATACCATCATCTTGATTTATTTTAGGATAGATTTATATATTTTTTTTCTTTTTCATAAGATATAACATGCACGTAAGTAAAATATTACTTGTTGAGCAATGAAAACATTACTTATCATGTTTTTGAAGAAAATATTTGCGGCAAACCTTGATTTTAGTTTCCCTCATTTTTTCAACTAATTTTTTTTTTATCAAACTTCTCAGCCAAAAAAACAGAGGAGTTCTTTCACACAATTCAACACCATAATATCAATGACCTATTTTAGCATATAAAAACAAACTCATTTCGGATGCACAAGGTGAGATTCACACTCTTATTAAGATTTGACGTCATTGTTATTTTAACAATGCTAATTTTTTAAATTTTTATTTAAAAATAAAGGCTTTTTTTTTTGGGTTATATCTGATATCCTATACATACAAGGAAGAATCTGCTGTTGATCATGGCAAGACAACAAACGTTTTTTGCCACAAAAAATTGCATTATGTAAAACAGAGGGATCAAGGGTACAGGTAAATAGTCCCGGGTCTATTACAAGCCATAGAACCCAAGAAAGATCGATGATACACAGCAATTCTTTTACTTAATTATTAGAGCATCATAATTTCCAAAACCAGCAACAACAAAAAAAACCAACTAAAAAAACGGAAGATACACCACACGACTTTAAATTATAGATAGCTCTCTGCGCTTTCCATCATTGCAGACTAGATATTGCCATCATTCTGAATAACCCTTGCTAATCCATGCCCGGAGACCGCAGCAAGAGTAAGTTGAAGCCAAATTCTCATGCATCAAATGGTAGTTCAGTGCTAGAATTTGACATAAATGGTATATAAACCATTGAGTTTATATTTTCATCTGATTGCAAAAGCCTTTGAATCAATGAATCTATAGATTCAGATTCAATTGATTGAGAAGGTATTTGAACCTCAAGGTTCACAGCTTCATTTGAGTGAAAAAATCTTTGAATCAATGGATCTTCTACTTCATTTGATTGGGAAAACATTTGAACTAGTGAGTCCATAGCTTCATTTGATTGGGAAGGTATTTGTGTCAACAAACTTATAGTTTCATTTGACTGGGAAGATACTTGAGTGTTTGAACTCATATTAGAAAAACAATATTCCTGAAAAACATAACAACCAAATATTAATTCACTTGTTAACTCACATACACCTTGTAAACTTTAACAATTCCTCTACTTACTCTTGAAGTCATAGACATATTCGCTTGATTTTCATCTTCAAGCATCATATTACTCGACTTCTTCTTACGAAGAGTTTTTTCTTTTGTTTTCTTCTCGTTGTTTTTCTTTAACCAGCATAAAACATGAGTCCTCTGTAAATTGAAGTATAAAATTAGAAATGATAGTATTAACAATTTTGATTGAAAAAAAAGTATTACACCAAGAATGGATGGCATCAACATTTACCAATAATAAATATCAGTTACCAAACAATGAGAGACATGAAAAGAGTAATATAAAACCAATGACACTCATGCTATTCACCCTAAAAGTTAGACCGGATACATATAACCATAGCACAAAATAGATAGAAACATGATATATACTTTTTATTTTCTAAGAATATATGTAGAGACATCTCATAAGCAAATCAACATGTAATTTACCTCATGTGCTGGTAGGGTAGCATCATGATATTCATGAATTACCCAATTAGTTTTCTGAGCACGAGGTTCGTGCTTTTCATAGAAAACCAGATTCTTCTTGGTCCCAATGACATTGTTAGTGTCTTGATCTATGATTTTACCGCCTCTACCGGTAACTTTCCAGAAGCCACGCAATGTTCTCCTGTCCCGCAGGGTACTGTTAGAGTACTTGTAATTGTAGGGACTGAAGAAAAAGCACTCCGAATCGTCGAACTTGTTCGCCAAAAGCGCTGGAGAAGAACAAGAAAGCAAAATCAAACGCCATAGCATAGGAAAGATGACGAAGTCTAAGAAATTTGAAAGAAGAATTTAAATTAAAATACCTAGTATATCCCCGGGTTCAAGCTTGCAGGCATCAATCTCCGGGATAGTGTTGTGAACGGAAGAATCACGGGCCTTCAATTTGCGGCTGAGGTAGTGAGCAACGAGCTCTTTCTCGGTCGGACGGAATCGGTATCCCACCGGCACACGTCTCTTCGTCGGAGCTGAATTTGCCATGGCTGTCTCGCCGGTAACAATACAGCGTCGGAAAGGGCAAGATGCCTAAGGAGATTGAGAGAGAGAGAGAGAGTGGTTGGAGGTGGCTATTTGGATTCGAGCGAGTACTGGGCTTATCACTTCAAGCTAGTAGCAGAGGCGCACCTCTTCTTAAATAATGGAGAGATAAATTACAATAAGTTGAAAATAAACAGACCATAATGTGTGAGGACCTGTAATATTCGGACACGTAAAAAGTACAAAACCGCGTAAGACTGAAGAGAATCTTTTGGTCTTTGGAGTCTTCCCCACAATTACACAGCAATTCACCTCTATTTTCTTTGTTCCCAGTCAGTTGCAAGTCTTAATCACAGTAATAACATCTCTGCTACCTGAAGGTTCGGGAATAGTGTATTAAAAATTAAAAATATAAAAATAAATAAGAAAACTTGAGGGATTTGACAAAGTATCATATTTGAGTATATTTATACTGTTTTTTTTTTTACGGTGTTATCTTCTCACTCATCTAACAAAGCATAAAATTTAATTTTCACTCTATTTCATGCCAGCTTTTTCATTGTAAATTCGCACAATTTTTATCGTTACATCAAGGAATATGAAATCATAATAACTCTGACAATACATAGTATATAATTTCATTATTATTATCTTAATTTTCAACATGAAATGAAATGGCTATAAAGCGTTCGATCTGGTGATAAGTTTAGCAAATATCTTGTGATTCCAAATATTCTGAAATGAATAAAAAGCCAAGCCTTGCTTCCCAAGTTTTAGAGTTGTAGGCTAGGGATGGACCCTAGCATCTTTTCTGATGCTCTTCTTTATTATGGTTTGTTATGCTCCCCACTAGGATCTGCTCCCTGACCTCTATCATTTCACTGGTCCATGAACCACGAAATGACCATCAAACGTAACTTCTGTTTTGGAATTCCTTATTCCCGTAGCAGATTGTTCAATTCTTTTTTTTTTAATGATAAAACCCCATTTGCGTTTTATTCCTATCCTTAAACGCGATAGACAGGTGTTTTTCTAAATAAAATTTGAGAGATTTCTAAAAAAAAATCTTTAAATTTAAAACTTTAAGTCTTTTTTATTTCACTTTAATAACAATTGATAATATTTAAAAATTAAATGATAATACATTTTTATAATCATTTTTAAAATTTCAGAGGTATTTCTTTATGATTTTTTTCATAAAATTTTTGTACACTAACTAACTATATATATTATTTTCTCAGCACTTTAATATCAATCATCTGTTTGGTATACAATTAAGGAAAAGCATATGTCATTTTGAATACCCAAAATGACAGGTATATATATTATTAAGTTGTGGTTAGCTTGATTATTATTACTGTTTTTAACATTATTCATTTTCATTTTTATTCCAAGGTATGTATATTTTACATTTGACCGGTACATTACAAATGACTTATTTGGAATAGTTTATAAGCGGTTTTTTTTATCATGATTTACAAGATAGAAGGTAAATAAGTGAGAAAAATTTTATCTCAATTTATATAAAATATTTTTATAAGTTATTTTAATCATGATACCAAATAGGGCCAAAATCTGTTTCTTCCTATCAGAAGTTTATACCGAGGAACATGGAAAGGGGGAAAACATTAATCTCTTATAGCCAAAGGAAATAGTATTCATGCAAACATAATATGATCAGGAGTAGATCACAACTTAGTTACAACAAGCGCTAAATCATTTAAAAAACTGATCCAAACAAATACTTAATGCGAAGAACACTAAAAAAAGATACACACCACAATTGTATTTTTCCTCCTTGAACATAATAGTTTTTTCTCCCCTTCTTTATTGTCTCAACGCATGCATATGCATGAGACCGTAAATATTTCCAACTAGTCTTGCTTATCCTCAAGCGGAGACGACAGCAAAAACGAATCGACATCAAATCCGTCTTCTGATTCATCACGTAGCATCTCATTGCTTGACCCCACCTCGTACTGTGAGCCTCCAAAGTCACCTGAGTCCGGAATTTGTACCTGAATCATATATCAATCATCAAATTTCAGTTCTCATTATGTTTCACATATTGACCTGGCATATGAAATATATGAACAATATACTTATCAGCAGCTCGAGAATTTTTCTACTTACTCCTGGAATCATATCATTTGCTTGATTTTCATAGCCGGCAGCGATACTGGCATTTGCCTTCCTTGTACCATGAACCATCTCATCCGTTTTTTCTTTTGGTTTCTTCTCGGATTTCCTCGTTAACTTGCATACAACATAAGTTCCCTGCGACACGGAAGAATAACGAGGCACTTGTTTGTCGGAACCAGATATAATCCGGAAGAAACGATTATACACAAAATGTTCTCCACATGAAAATTGGTGATAAACATTTAGTCACCAATTAGTTAAGTTTCCGTATTCTCCTAGATATAAGCAAACAAAGAATAGAAGCTTACCTGGTTTGGAGGAAAAAGGTCATATTCATGAATGATCCAATTACTTTTGGTGCGTCCTTGGTAGAAAACCAGACTCTTCTTGGTCCCAATAACGTTGTTGGTGGCAAGATCCCTGATTTTTCTGTCTTGACCGGTCACTTTCCAGTAGCCACTCGATGTTGCCCTATTACACCGATTGCTATTAGGGTACTTGTAATCGCGAGGACTGAAGAAATACCATTCTGGTTCGCCCGACTTGTTCAGTGAAAACGATGAAACAACAGCTGTTGGATAAGAAGAAGAAGAAAAAGAAGCAAGATCAAACGGCAGAGCATCATAAGATGATTGAAGCATAAATAATAATGTTACAGTAAAACAGGTATTGGTTTGTAGAAGAAGAAGATGAAGGGTTTGGATTATGAGACCTGGTAATTCCCCGGGTTCGAAATTGCAAACGTCAATCTCAGGGATGGTATCGTGGATGGAGGGATCATCAGCCATCAATTTGTGCCGGAGGTAATGACCGACGAGCTCTTCATCGGTGGGGCAGAATCTGTACCCCAACGGCATATCTTGCTGCATAAGAGCTGGGTCCGCCATGGCTGACTCTTAACTATAACCTGATGAGCTTATCAAAGGGCAAGCGGAGAGCTTGAGGAAGACGAAACCTAGAGCGAGAGAGAGTGGCGTCGTTGTTTGTTCAGGAACGACAATGGAAGGCAATACTCTAAAAGTTGTTCACTCTAAGCAAAACTCGCATCGCCATTTAAAGAGGGGGAGTGAAATTCGAATTAAAATAAATAAAAATGATGCAGATATTTGAAACTGTATAATTTCAGTATTATACATAGAGGTTATATAAAATGGGAGTGACTAACAGATATATTGTTGTGAAGGATGAAGCTCAAAAATTAAATAAATGACACGACATGAAAGAATAATTTGTGGCGTCTTGGATAATCTTAGTAACTTCGGGCGTAAGGAGGGGCAAGTGGATGACGTCATGCATGCAAACGACGATGCGTAGGAGGACTCGTAATGTTTGGACACGTAATCAACTGTGGGACCTACCAACAAAAAAACGTGTCCGTACAGGTCAAGACCAGCGTAAGCGGAGAGAGAAAGAGAAGCGAAATCCTTTTTCTGAGTTGAGGGCTCCCTCCTTCCTCATTCCTTCCTCCTTTCGAATTTTCATTGCACAATTGCGACTTTTTTTCTTTTCTTTTTCCCCGCTTCCCCCCCGTTTCCGTTGCGATTATAAATCAGCTTTCTCTCTTTTAATCATCATCGAATCTCACGCGTTTTTCTCTGCATAGTACAGTTTGAAAGACCAGTCGTATTCTTTTGTCAAAACCAAGCATCTATCTCAGATTTCTTATTCGTCATTCGTGTGACAAATTAATGAAGCTTTCCATCTTATTCCTGCATCTGCGCTTTTGCTCTTCTTTGCAAGCACCATTTTCGGGCAAGTTTCAGTAATTGCAGGATCAATCGAAATAATTCTGAGATGTGTAAATTCAGCTGACCTTGCAAAACGTTGCTTGACTAAAGGGTACGGTCTTTTGGAAAAGAAACAGAAACCAACGATGTATGATCTCAGTTGAATATTAATCGACATTGTTCATTTACTATTAAAAAAAAAACAGCGAACAACAATTCAATGCCTTGGATAAATGTACTGAGATAAGCAGCTTATTTCAGTACATTACAAAATTCTCAACAGAATTTAAATAAGTCAACTATACAAAGATTTCCCTATAGGCCTATATCCACAAGGGAAAAAAATAATTTAGCCCCTTTAATTAACTTCACAGAACATTTAATTAACTTCATTTCATACATTATCATAGGCAAAAGCCTTAGACGAAAATAGCTAGGAAAGGGTCAACCCCTCCTTCATAACTAACACCCGCCAATAACGAAAGGCATCAATGGAATCTCCCACATGGTACCTCACACACACACACACAGAGAATAGCAAGGAAGGCTTGCATCCCAAGTTTGAAACTTTGAATATTCTGAATTTGTTGAAACATGGTAAGAGTCACTGGCCAAGTCTCTTCCTCTGTGTTAAACCCCACCATGACCATCTATCCCATCGCAAAGTGCTTCTTCAGTAACGAATCTTTTTCGTCAGTTTCTCATGTTTTCACTTTTTATGTGGGGTTTGTTATGTCCCCCAATTCCTACCTTTACAAAGTTACCTTCTATACTCGCATCATTATGAGCCAGAAGTTCGCTGCGGGTAGATTTTCCTGATGACATCACATCCCAATAACCATATCCTTATGGTAAATTGAGGGAGGATTTGGATTTTAACTCAGCTAGCTAATTTATTTGAAGGGATCTCCTAGAAGATGACAACCCTTCTATTGCTTCCATTGCTTATGGTTTCCATACTCTTCCTTGAATTGTTACCCTGTCTTCACCCTGCTTTCCTTGAATTGCTCTTTCTTCTGAACAGCAAAATACTTCATTATAAGTCAAAGGACTGTTCTGAAGATTCAAAATGATGCAATCCTTTTTCTGATTATCATCGTACTGAACTCATAGCAGGCATGCTAGTAGGTGACTATTAGGATTAGGATTACCTCTTCTCTGTCCTTATCTTAGGGTTTATTGACAGGGATATCTGGAACCTTTCCTCAAAGCCTATTCTTAAGCAGCGGATAAGATAAAAGAATGGCCAGCTTCGAAGCATGGATGAGCCCTCTGAGAACTTGGACTAGTAATTTGGACTAATTTTTCAAGCCAAACTTTCTTAGAAGTAGCGAGTAACTAATACATTTGATAATTCTGCTTGATGGCGCCATATGTAAATAATCTTATACTACCTCTGATCCTAATTATAAGAGTTAGTTTGACTTTTAGTTTGATTCTAAATATAAAATTCCAATCCACTTTGTCTCTCATGTTTATCTATTTTTTTTCCAACTACCCTTGCTTGTATTACATTAACTATAATCAAATACTAGCATAACAATTACATGTGGAGCAATTTTACTTCCTCTCTCCACTTCTCATTTCACCTGTTGAATTAAAATTTGATTAGGTTAGTTTTAATATTTTATAAATATATTACTACCTTTGGTCCTTAATATAAGATCCTGTTTGACTTTTATTTTGATTCTAAATATAAGATCCCAATCTACTTTGTCTCTCACGTTTACACATTTTTTTTAAAGTGGTCCTTCTAACAATGATAGTTCTAGTCAATACACTTGATTAGTAAGGATATTTTAGGAAAGATAACACCTATTTAAGATAAATAACTAACTCAACTTATTTTCTTAATTTCCTCAAATTAGTCAACTAGCTCTTATAATAATTAGGATCAGAGGTAGTAATACACTTTTAAATTATTAAAATAAATATATAAATAACTCAAATTGTTAAATTTTAACCGTCCCTGTTTAAATAGCAACGAAAAATATTTAAAAGATTAATTTATGTTTGGAAAAGAAACTAAGAAAAAAACAATAGAAAAATGAAATCCTGGGCATTAAAATATTATTTTAAATTTATAAGCTGGCGCCTCGTGACTGTTAAAAAATTCATTTTAAATCTATGAATAACTTATTTTTTTAAAAAAAATCTATAAACCACATAAAAAATTATTAGATGGACTTGAATTTGTAAATTCTCCAGAAACAACAACCAACAAATACTATAATATGGTGGATTTTATTAATTTGAAGGACTAAGTAGTTCTTTGTACACAGAATACTATAGATTCTGATGACAGTATGAAAGGCTAGAACAATAAGTAGAACTGTCAAAAATATAGAAACAACATCAAGAAATACCTAAGCAATTATGAACTTCCTATATCCTATGCATTTGTTAATCACTCTAGAATATCCATCAAACAACACCGAATAAACCTTCAAGTTTTTAGAAACACAAAAAACTAAACCCCATTCTTCAATCTCAACGAGGTGGTGGCTGGTGAGTTCTTCTTTTGCAAAAATTAGTAGTTGAAGCCAAAGACTAGTTTGCTATTGAATCATCCAATATTGCCTCAACTATGAATTATCCAACACACAAAATTTAAGCACCATGCATACATATTAACCAAAAGAACAAGATAAAAAAATAGAAAAAAATACTCAAGGAAAAATTACCTCAAATACTCCATCACTTCTTGTACTAACTTTGGATCACACTTTATTTGATTTGGTAGTGGACCTTCCTTTTCCATGACTTCTTTTCTTATATGTGGAAGATCATATTTATTAGAACCTCTATCCTTCATGATTTCTGCCATGTAACATTCAAGTGTTAAGAATATTTTGTTAGACTTAATGGATGGAAATGATTCAAATGATCTAATCACTGCCGCAATCAAATCATCAGTTGTTTTTTGTGTTTTCTTGTATTGTAAAGATTGTAGGCCATCAAAGAAGCCAAGATCTAGAATATTCAAGTCAGGAGAATTAGGAGGTTGGTTCATCAAGCGGATATGAAACCCATCTTCTGTGGCAACTCAATAAAACTCACTGTCATTTGGATCAATGTGACATCTTGCATTGTCCTGTTGAATATAAATCAGCTCCCCTATTGAATCTCTAGGCCACTTTGCCTTTATAGCAGGCAAAACATGTCCAATAAGAAACTGTCTACTAACTTCTTTGGTAACTGAAGTTATAGGCTTTGTTATCAATGAACCTACAGGTGTATTAACACTTTTTCTCTTTGCTGGCTCTTTTGTCACTAAAGGAAAGACTCCAATTTTCCCGAAGAAAGTTTCATTGCCTTCACTGTCAAACCTTGGACGGCCAACACCAACCAAGAACATGACCTTTCCAATAAAGTTTTTGTTTTGCATAGTACACAATGGATCATTTTCTATTGATAGCATGTAATGGTTCACAGTCTTTTTAGTCATATAGAACCACTTCTCATCAATGTGAACTACATTATACATGCTTTTAAAAGTTAGAACCACTTTCAATCATGGACAAACAAAACTATAGTCAAGCAATCTTACTCTCTTCCCTCAAATATCACTTAATGGCATTAGAATGACATTGGATAACTCCCTTCTTTAGAAATCTAACTAAAGAGGTTTTATTTATATTTAGTGCGCAGGATAAATCTCACAAGGTGGTTCTCTTAACAAAAGGAAAACTTGAAGAAATTAATCAGTGTGAAGTTCAACTCTCTTGTGACCACAGTTTCCTGTTTTTTCATGACATACACCATCCCCAACCTTTGTTTTTTGCCAAATGAGTTTAATGACAGAATTGGATACTGAATACATTGATGCAACCTTCTTCATAGCCCCTCAAATTAGTTTCCCTTCTTGACTATACTGTAACAGGAGATAGGAGATGGCTCTGTGATCTTCATTACTCAAGAACCTATGGTGTTTGCCTATTCCATGATACCCAATAGCACTTGCAGATTTTATTAACCAGGAGGGACAAAAGTAACAAAGCATAAAAAAATTAAAGTTAATAAAAATGGAAGAAGAACATGCATATTCTAGTTTGCAACAAATTAAACAGAAATACTACTAATAGAAGGTGTTGATTCAATTAATAATCCATGCGATGGAAATACTTTGCAAACAGCTCAATTATCCTTACCAGCCAAGAACAAAAAGAAGATGACATAGACAGATGGAAAGAGAAAGAGGATATCCCTCTCATTGCAAAGAATAAGCTAAACAAGCAGAACTCAGAGTAGAACACAACCTCTATATATATATAGATATGATTACCACAAGAAGTCATAGTCTCAAAATTATAAAAGAAGCATGTAAAATTAAAACTCAGCGATTTGATTTGATTTGATTTGATCTCAC